TGGCAGCAAATATTGTCTGTTCAAGGTCTATGTACATATGTTTTTCACATTTTAAGTTTGAGTAAACAATAACATTTTGCCAGTATATATACTGAATGGAAAAATTTTGAATACAGTTAGCTATCAAGCCCAATCATTTCCACTCATGTCTGAAAGAGTGACATTTATCCTACTAATAGCTTTTTGTTAATTGGTTCGAGCAATTAAGATGATTTAAAAAAAAATAAAATTGAAATTTAGTAACAGTTAAACAAGTATTATGCACTGATACACCAGAGGGCAGTCTTGATTCATGATATCTACTGCTATTCACTCTTAATAGGTGATTTTAATCTGGTTTTGGGACAGTAGCCATCAAGAAACAAAAGTACAGTTGAATGCACTAAAGGGCATTATTTATCTTTATCCCACATTGCTTTCAATTAAATCATGATTTTGTACATGGTTCTCTTCTCTATTTGGTGGTGGTTTATTATTCACATAACTGTGAACTGGAATTCTGTGAATTACACAGAAAGATGGGACTTTACCAGTATCATCCAGGGAACTTCCTTGATGTATAACATTTGAACTTTCTCTGGACTACTCCCATTTTTTAAAACAGTACCATGATAAAAGTCCTACACAAACATGAAATGAGTTCTAATTTTAATTGCTTTACTGGTAATTTTGCTCACTGGTTTTATCAGCATTGTGGATGCCACTTCGGTTTTTGAATTTTTCAATATGTACAAAAGAAACATCCCAGTATTGCCTGGGTTGAAACTTCTTTCTGCTGCTGGTTTAATTAAGCAATTGTACATAATACTCAGAGCCTCATAGTGACATAATTTATAACATACATCTGGAATATCTAAATTCTAGTGTAAATGCCCCACCTCAAATACTCGGAATAAAATGGGAGGATATAAATCAAATAAATAATAGTTTCTCTACCAAATATGATCTGAAGACCATAACAAATATAAAAACCAGAAGACTATCAAAATGTCTTAGCAAAAAATAAAATGAGGAACTACAGTTGGTTTTATGATTTCTTGTCTTACACAATGTTAATATAATTGATCTTCAAACAAATTAAGAATAAAGGACAATGCTAACCATTTCCAGAGACTAAAACATTTAGTTTTGAATATGAAAACTAGTCTTGCTAACTTACAATATAAGCAATATATATTACAGGTTTTTTTTATCTCTATAACTAAAGATGAAATAATGTATATAAATTATATTAAGAGTTATTTTGCACAGGAAAGTAGATTCTAAAGATAAAACATGTTCAGACAGCTCAAAACTTTCATTTTTCATAACACACTAACAGCCGGCCAGAAGGTTGCTGCTTGGAGTCGTGCCAGTAGAATGGGCTATTGAGGCTGAATCCAACCCAGTGCTCTGGATAGGAATCCAGGGGTCAACAGGGGTCTGCTTTGGCCCTGCTTGAATACATTACAGAGAGTTCATTTCCTAGAAACCAGTTCCACCAATGATCAATTGGACATACTTATTATTTGATGATCTATATTCTGGAGATGAGGGTTACTATAAGCCCATTCAGTTTTGTCTTCTCAAGGCTAAACACAGCCATTTTCTTCAATCATGTTTCATAAGACTTAGCTTCAGTTCCTAAAATCTGTTAAAGAAATCTCCTTGAGTTACAGAAAATGAATGTGTGTGTTCCTCTTGTTGCCTTTGTGAACAAAGTAATTTTGTAACATAGCCATGTAAAATACTGTACTCTGCATTAAATTAATTCAGAAATATATTGTATTATTGGTACCTAATGTGATGTGTAAAAGGGGTATCTTTAAATACCTTTGGTCAAGACAAATCTCAAGTCACCATCATTGCAAACAATTCAAACAATGTAATTCCTCTGGAAAGAACAAGTGACAAAAAGACAAAATATAGATGGTGCTATCAGATCTGGGTTGCAAAAATAATCACTAAATGGCAATAAGAGGTACAGAAAACATTTTTTGCTGCCATCTATTGGTTGTCTGGATTTTTTTTTAGCCCAGATCTGGCAGCCCTCGACAATGAACATCTTTGAAATTAAGCAGTTGAGTTTTAAAATAAGTTTGTTCATGGAAGCAAGTTTCTCATCTCCCTCTTCCTTAAAAAGATATTTGAATCCATAAAAACACTCTCATGGAAACGAAAATTCTTCTTGGGTCATGTGATACTGCGAGAAATTTGCCTTCCATAAAATACTCTAAGTTAGTTTACCTTTCATTTTTTAAATTATTTTCGTCTTTTGAAATAGTTCCAAATTCCATCCTACATTGTTCCAATCAAGCCTATAATCCTCTAAGGAGGATTTTGGTGTATTCATATGGTTGTAGGGAGGGTGGGTTGGAAAACATTCTTTTTGTGAATTTAAATTATTCAAGATATAAACATGTGAGTTACTGGTCATATGGCATTTTATAAATACAGTGTGTTTTTCACATATAGGAATACCTGCAAGTTTCTGCATACTATATCAAGTCTATAGTATTAGTGGAAATAAACATTTTTGTCTTAATTCTGTTTTCTTACTGAACTCATATTCAAGCCCAGTGTTTCTGATTTTGACTACTTTGTTCAAAACAAATTGATTGTGTAGTGCTGTGCTGGTCAATGACCAAAACAAGGATTTGATTGATTGATATATCAAGATTGCACACTTAAGTATCCATACTTGAAAGAAAGTGTCAGAAATTCTCAGCAAATATACATGGGATTGATATATTAGAATATTATTCCTCACTAAATACAAAGGGGCTGAATATGTTGTGGTTATAGAATGCATGAGATCCACAGTAACTCAAGCTACAACTGCTTTATGATGATAGGTAGGCTATTAAAGGATACATATATGTTATTACTAGGAACCACATATGGACCAGGTTAACAGACTTCTATCCAGCCTGCCCTAGTTCCCATGATCTTGGGACATTTATCTACAGCAAATTGTTGAAAAAGTTACTCTTAAAAAAAAAGAGTACTTATAATTCTACGAAGTGCAGTTCTTCCCCCACCCCCCAAAAGGGAAAAGCTATTTAAACAAATTAAATGTTTTTAATACATTAATTAACATAAGCAAAGGTTTGAATAATTGTTTTCCATCCTCCATCCTCCTCCTTCTCACTTGAACTTATTAGGCATGTCAAAACTTCTATTTGCTCCATTATTTATGATTTAAACTGTTTCATTCTCTAACTTCTTTTTCCAATCACCAAGACTCACTAATCAGTTACATGAGGGCTCAGGCCAAGGAAATAGCAAAAGTGCATGAGTAAGCTTATTATATAATTTTTTTTTGGGGGGGGGTGTTTTTCTCCCTTTGAGTCATTGTTGACTCCTGGCTTCAGCCTGGATAAATCCCTACAGCTTCCTTGGCAAGATTTCAGAAGTGATTTGCCATTGCCTTCTAGCTAGGGCTGAGAGAGAGTGACTGGCCCAAGTCACCCAGCTAGCTTCATGCTGAAGATAGGACTAGAACTCCTGTTTGCCCGGTTTCTAGCCTGCTGCCTTAACTACTACACCAAACTGGCTTTCTTACTGTACAGTAGCCAAACAAAATTATTGAATCTATTTTATACTGAAAAGTTTCCTTTATCTTAAAGGAAAAACAGTAACTACATTTGGCAATTTTAATATTTTTCAGTGGAGGCAAAGAACCATCAAATCTTACATTGTTCAACTTTTAAATGCATTTTTCACCATCTTTTACCACATAATGTGAACTCTATTGGACAATCTATGTATTATAATACTATTACATTAATTTAACTAATGTAACCTTCTCTTGTTTAGCAACTACAAGGAACAACTTCTCTTAGAGATCCACTGTTCAGTGGATAAAATCAGTGAATACTAGGATTATCACAACAGAGTCGCTAGAAGTCGGACAGCATATGAATTTAATTAACTATAATTACAACTGAGCTGCAAAAACTGGATAACCTCTAGATGTGAGCAAAGCATATATGCTCTATCTTTTCTCCCATGTAGTGTTTTTCTGTGTTTTTTGTACCTCAAATCTGATAGCTGTAGTGAATACAAGAAAAATATTTTATGTGATCTTGCCATCTATGAAATGCCTCCCATGCCAAGCTCCCCTGTCACCTACATTATATTCCTTGGTACTTTCTGAAAAAATTATTTCACTCAGTCTTCACAGCCTTTAAAGTAAAGTTGGAACTTCAAAATCCTTTGAAATGTTAAGACATACTAGCTTAATCCCTGTCGTATTTTATGCTGTAATTGAACCTCTATTATTCATCCTGTAACTTAAACCACAAAAGACAATTTATTTATTCCTGTGGAAACACAGGAACCTGTGGTCCCCAGATTGCTGAACTGCAGTTCCCAACATCTCTTACTATTGTTCATACTGCCTGCAAGAGGAATCCCACCACATTTAGAAGGCCAGAAATTCCCATCACCTATCATAAAAAATGGCTTCTGGAAAAAAATGGTGCTTACGAATGCAATATATTATTTACTTGTTTGTTTCTTCATGTATTGATTTTGTATGCTGCTGAATACATTCAAATTCAGTGTCTTACAGCAAAAAAAAAAAAGTGTGCAAAATTTCCTTTCTCATACAATAAGGTTAATTTTGCTGTCAAGAAAAATCCTGTATATTGCATGAAGCACCACTCCAGAGTGCTCTCTACTCCCTGCTTATCTATGAGAGCTGTCATTAAGAGAGAGACAGAGAGAGACAGAGAACTCTATGCCCCAGCTGTAAACAGATCCAGAGAAATAGTCATGTATAAATATAAACTTTAAAAGGGATTGAATTCTACTTTAGTGGTTTTTCAATTATTTTTAACAAGCTATTACAACTCAAAATATTATTGGAATAAAGGTTTTAATATAATGTATAAAAATATAATTATTTACATTTGAAATATGGACTGCAACATTTGCAAATAGAACAGTATAAAGGTTAACATTCCATAGGACTGGAAAAGCTTGAAAGAAAACATTTGTGGTATAAAAGGACAACTTCTTACATAACTTCCGCAGACTGAAATAAAGAAGCTTCTTGTTTCAGGTTAAGGCAACCTTACACATCCTTCTCTGTACTACGGTAAAGAATTAGTTGTCTCAGTTCAACAAGAATATGCCTATGACTTCAATCCATGACCTACTAAATGCCTCGCAAATTTAGTTCCCAATAACATTTATAGAAATACAGGTATATGCTTGCCTTAAACACAAGTAATCTGATTTGATGCTTTCGTGAAACAGGCTGTGAAGGATACAATCTTTTTGTCTTTGATTTTAAAAAGAAACTGTCTAAGGTGACAGAAGTAGTCTTACTATTGCATAGCTGCCAAGAACATAAGATCAAATATATTATAAATTTACATTAAGGACTAGTCTAGAACACTATTTTCCTTTGGTATACAAATAACACTGATTGGGATTACTTCATACAACCTATCCTTTGGTTCATGCTATTAATTTTAATAGATATCCTCCTGTATGTCTTCTGTTAGTCAAAAAGTTTTAGAACAGTTCTTTAGAAAATGATGCAAAAAATGCCTAGGCTTTTTAAACCCACCACTTTATCTGAATTTTAGTGAACTATCTTTCCTACTTCATACTATATTTTAAGTGCAGTTTCCTTCCCAACTGAACAAGCAGAGGATTTAAACACACAATGTAGTTGTTTTTCATTGTTCCAGCTGTTTTGGTCTGTAGAAGTCAATGTAGTTGGTAAACATATCTAGCAAAAGCACTGTTTACTTTAACTAAGCTGTCGTTCCGCATAATCTGTTGGCTGTTGAGACCTCTTTGGTGTCAGATTCTGGTCTTCCTGAAACCACAAATGGCCAAGTCTGTGAATTAAAATAGGTTTCTGTGTTAGAAAGAAGCATGACATTTTACAAAGACCAATTTGCTGCAACATAGTTTCCACCCATATTTAGCAAAACAACTTTCCGTACAAAAACAGAAATGGTTTCTTGATTAAAAATCACATGCAATAAACTGGAATTTATTAAAGATCCCCTCATTACACTTTTCTTGCTATATAGCGTTAACAGCATTAAACAACATGCTAATATAATGTGTTTTGTTACAACTTTCATCAGAACTCTATAGCAGTGTTTCTCAACCTTGGCAACTTTAAGATGTGTGGATTTCAACTCCCAGAATTCCCCAGCCAGTTGAAGTCCACACATCTTAGAGTTGTCAAGGTTGAGAAACACTGCACTATAGGGACAACAAAGCAAAGAGTCTCAAAAAAAAAAATTTTGCTCAAGCCAATATGTAGCTAACATATTTGTTCCTTTATATCAGCTGATTCAGTCTTTGAAACAAGCTTTTGCTGCAAATTATTGTTATTTTAACCCAAATATATACATTTTTGTGGCTGAAACACTGCCATAGATCTGCAATATGGATACTACATGGTCCATATTCTACATGAATAAACTACTTATGTAAGCAAGCTTTGTGGAAAAGGGAAGTGTAACAGCTCCTACAGTTCCTATATACTTAAAGCAATAACAGAGTTTAATTTCTAGCATATGTGTGAGAGAAATATGTATGCCATTGATTTGTACACAAAGTAGTATGTACAATAATGACAAAAGCACAATTTTATAATAGGAATGATAATAGGAATGATTACATACTGGTTTTTAATTATTATACAAACAATAATTATATGCTTATTATTTTATGTTATTTTATGTTTATTTGTTTATCTATTTATTTTTAAAATGTATACGGCCCGTACTATATAAAATAATCCTAGGCGGCTAACAACCAAATATACAAATAACAAAAAAAAAATGAAATTAAAAGTTCGTACATGCCACCAGATGCCATAACACTCCATCTCAAGAACACAAATGCTCTCATCCTGGCCCAATACCTGAGAGAAAAGCCAGGTCTTAACTGCCTTCAAGAAAAGAAAGAGGGTAGGGGTCCTCCATATCTTGGGAGTGGGGAGCCTATTCCATAGGGTAGGCACTGCTATGGACAAGCCTGTTTCCTAGGTCCCACCAGATGCGTTTCACATCATTTAGTAGAGGGGACCTGGAGTGCATCCACTCTGTTAAGTTAGAACATTCCTTAGTATATCAAGACATTTTCTCATTCTATAAATTTGCTGTATAAATTACTTTAATTTCCACAGAACAGTTTCAAGAAGCTTCTCCAATTCAAACTTTTCCAGAATGCCAGCCCTTTATTTCTTCTATAAAGAAATAAAATTTTCATTATAATATACACTAATGTGGTGAAATGGGTTGCAGGTGAGAAACCAGATTAAATAATTAAGTGGGAAGCTTTCTAAATAAGATTGCTTCAGCAGAAGCTAATTTGTGTGGACTAAGCCACTTCAAGGAGAGCCAGGAAATGAATACTGTATAAGCTTTGGTTTGCCTGCAGTTGTCATGGTTATTGTGAGAAATTTACAGAATGAATATACATAGTCAAGCCTGTCATGCAAGTTAATAAATCTATCAATTTTTAGATAATTTACAAGTGTATCATAGCACAATTTAAATTAGGCATTTGCCCAATAATGTCTCTTCTAGAATAGTGCCTATTGATTTTTTTTTAAGAAGGCATTACAGTATTAAATGTGTTCCCCTTTCTTCAAAGAGGTTTAATGTTTTCGCTTTTATTAGTTGATGAAATACTGCAGCCACAAAATCTTTATTAGACATATTTCTAGTACCTTCTGCTGTTTGTCATAATCCACACCTGCACTGCTGAAAAACTGCTGCAATCAGTATGAACATATGCACATAAACATAGCTGTTACATGGATAGATATGTTTTTGGAACCAAATCTACAGTATGTGAAGATGTTAACCAGTTCTCTTTGGAATGTGCTAAATGCAGCTCTATGTGATTGGAGGTGCTTAGGGGAGGCCACCTTTATCTCCTATAACTATAGATGGGCCAAATCCCATATAGATTTGGAAAACCTGGTAATTTTCAGAAATAGATCTCTGTCATGAAAGTAAGAGTTCACTTTCATTATTCCTAAACTTGAGCTAGCAGTGTAATAGATTATAATGGCTTTACATTCTTTTAGCCTAGAAAATAATCTGTTGTGTGCATTTGGAACTTGAAGATGTTAATAGATCTTGGATTGCAAATGGAAATCTCGCTGAAAATAGCAAGAGAAATGACCAAAAAAAAAGGTATTGTAAAATATATCATTTTTACAATACCTTTTAATTGTTTAGCCACAATTAGGTACAGTCCTAATTGCATCTTATCTCAAAAAACGATAAGAGTTGAAAAATATATGGCAGCAATTAAAATGATTAAACATTTGAAGCAATTTCCCTATGAGTAATAATTAGAAAGAACTAGACTTTGCAGTTTAGAAACTAATGAAAACCAAAATGAATAATTTTTCATATTCATTTTGCATAAACAATAGGTTCCCCCCCCCCCCAAAAAAACAAGATGGTCCTCCCCTTCCTATATTACAGCCACACAGTAAACAATAGCAGAGCTAGGACATGCAAAATTAGGCCTTCATTCCAAGGCATTGTTTATAGAATTTGTTGCCATGTTATATAGTGAGTACATTTAAACAAATGGCAATTTTAACAAATCAGATTTCATTTTATGTTCCATTTGTGAGAATATTGTCTTGGCCTTTGGAAGAAGAGAAAACTAAACTAGATGAATGTTGATCATCTCATCCAGTAAGGCAGTTAGTTTTTTTTTTTTAGATGCAGACTGAGCAGCCTCAGATCCTTACATTTGATTCTTCAAGAGATTTATTTTCTCCCAGTCAGTTGCTCTATGAACAAAAGCTACAGCCACTTAAAAAGCTGAGGGAGAATTCTTCAAGCATGGAGGGATCCAAAGAGAATTCTTAATAACACATTTTTAAAAGGTCTTTGAAACTTCCCTCCAGATGATGTCAAATCCAATTAAGAGCTCTCCAGATATGCTTGACTACACTTCCTATCATTCTCAGTCCTTAGAGTGGCAGTCTGTTAAGGCTTTTAAAAAGTATCATTATCTTTGAATACACAGTTAAAGTGCCTTTTGGTACATGCAATCACCCTGAGCAATTCCCATGCTTGTAACACAAGGTGTGTTAATAACGCTCATGAATACAGACAATCCAAAATATACAAAAGATAAAACCAGTGGTGTGTGTGTGACCACAAAGCAGTGCTTTATTGAGGGTTTAGGGAGCCAAGTCCATTCCCTGATTCGCCTTGCTATTTGCTCATGTTTGGGCAAAAGTAGGATTAATATTTCTAAGGAGGAAGGAGCCAGAGAGGCAAACGCATACACAGCACTGCCCTCCCAAATTTCAGCTCCCTTGTTGACTGATGAAAGCGATCAGAAGAGGAAAGCATTACTCCCACTACAGAGACACCCCTCTTAGCCTGTCTCATTCTACTGTCTCCTACAATATCCCTATCCACAGTACTATTAACTTTAAGAGGTGCCTATTTGTACAGTATAAAGATAAATACGCTGAGACGTGCCAACCTAGATATCATGTCCTGTCCTGTCCCAGAACTGCAGAAACACTCAGCCCATGTTCAGAGGCACGTGAAGCGGACTTGCAGTCAAGTTCTCACAGGCTGCGCCCGGCTTCCGATATTCCTCGGAACGGGTTCCGACCTTACTCACCAGGTTGACAGGATGCACGTAGCCCTTCTCGTAGCAGTCTTCCTGCAGCAGCTGCCGGAGGTGGGCGATGTAGCTGGAGGCCAGGCGCAACGTATCCAGCTTGGAGAGCTTGGTGTCCGGAGGCACCCAGGGCGGGCTGGTTTTCAGGCGCGAGAAGGCTTTGCTCAGCACGCGCATGCGGGCTCGCTCGCGCGCGTTGGCCGCGTTGCGCTGCGACTGCTTGCCTTCCGGGGTCGCGGCCGCCGCGCCCCGCCCCCCCCCCGGGGGGCTTTTTACCCCGCCCCCCTCCCCCGCGGCGCCCCCCCCGTGT